CTGTCCAAGTAACCTGACCAGGGGTACATGCACTATTCAAAGAAACCAATGCGACATGTTGATCGGCGTAGAATACCACAAAAATAAACAGAATTTATCCCAGAAATACAGCACAAATAACAAGTTGCTGTATAAAACATTAACCAGCTCCGCTGAGTGAATCGCGGGATCCCGGTTTAACGTGCAACAATTGGTGTTGCGCAAACCGCACAATATACAGCCAACGTAATTCGCCAACTCTTCATCCAAACCTATCCGAAGTGAACGAACATTTCTTCTGGAATGCAGGGTTTCGGTGTGGCTCTCTCCTATCCCTGCACTCCACGACCGATGGTTTCGTCTTTGTTTAGACATATCAGGTAGAGATAGCTGAGCTAGGAGTGGAACTCGGGGCATAGTGCTTGGCGGCTATCGCCATGATCATTAGGCCATTGAGTTCCGCGAGCAGTGTTTGACACAGCGGTTAGAAGTAGAATTTCGGGGTTTTTGGAGCACCCGCCGTGTGTCTTGGATTGCGCGCGCAATCTCATTAGTGGCGGCGGTTGACTTGGAAGTCAGCCTCTGCCAATACGGTCACTGGGACCGTCACCGAAGTGGAGGGTTTCGGTGTGGCTCTCTCCTATCCCTGCACTCCACGACCGATGGTTTCTTCTGGAAGTTGGGACATAGTCAGTGGCTATTTCTTGATATCAGGAAGCTTCGTGCGCTGCAGTAGTCGCATCAGTGATTTCGACTACGTGCTCTAGTTTACATACGATTTAGCCGTTTGGTCATACCAAACTGTGACGTACAGATTCATTGCGCCACTCGTTTTTCGCATGTTGGCCCCCTCGCGCAATGTGCCCATCGCATACAAGTGCTTGTACGGACAAGCACCCAGAGGTGTAGCATAGGAGCGTAGGGGGCCGTCCGCCTCGAGCGGCATATGACAGGGGGCGTTATTTTTTAGTACGGATGGATGTTTCATAACAAGTGTAAATTCATCAAAATTGCTTCCATGACTGAAGTGGTAAAAGCGAAGGATGGTAATCATATTACGACTGAAGAGGAAATAGGTACTGAAAACGTTGACATCCGGGCAACAGAAATCGATATTGACAGCGGGGATGCAGCGGGAGATTTTGTAATGCTGATGCAGAGGAACGCGCTAATGGTGAAGAATTGGAAATACAAATACATTCTGTATGATAACAATCACATCAACCGGTTTTATGGATGTCCGCCAGTAAGCTAATAAAATTGTTCACGAAATTCTTAATATACTTTTCCGACTAGGATCTATTGTCATCCAGCGTATCTATCATGTATTTAATAATTGGTGCTACCTAGAACGAATGCAAAGCTGAGACTGAGAATCTAAAATCGAAATGGATATTTTCGGGATTTGCGAAACGGTAAGCAAGATTGCGACACCCATAGTTTCCGCTGCAAAATGCCTTCAACGGAATAGTCTACCTTTTTCGACTGGTGACAAATAAATCCAAAAGCATGTGAACACGAAGCGAGTGCTCAGTCATTCCTCAACCGCAAAGAGGTAGCGATTTGGTTAGTTGCAGGAAAGGCATTTGACAAAAGGGATTAAGTTGTTGTAGAAAATCAGTGCTGTAAAATGTAGCTAGAATACTTGATATTGGCTGGGTTCCCACAAAGCAACTCATGACACTGTGTGTTCACCGAGAAGAAATTCAAGATGACGAAAGCGGCCAAAATAGACGGGATTTTTCAGCATTTGTACATTTGTCGGCCAAGTGTGAGCCTGTTCGTTTTAAACATTTGGTGACAGTTCATCTGGGAAGGAAAATCAGCACTTTTTCCTCGTTGCACCATGTTCGAAATGAATTGGTGAGAACTTGGTAAAATAAGGTGTGAAAGAATATCATATATCAGGTTGAAGAAAGCAAGTAAGTTGGCTAGCTTTTCGATAGAACGCCCGATGTATCTCACAAAAATCAGTTGCGTGTAAACGAAGTGAGTATAGAGAAGTCGTTTCTCAGCTTCGTTGAGACCGACAGCAAAAGTGCAGAGGATATTGCTGCACTGGTTTTGCGAGAATCGGAGAAGGATGAGATTCACACTGACGATTGTCGTTGCCAAGCATTTGACAATGATGCTGTTACGGTACGCTAACGAATGGGTGTCCAGAGACGTGTCTGTGAAATCCGTCCAAAGGCTACATCTGTGTCACGCATAAGCCATTCTATGTGTTCATGTAGCTTCCGCGACAGTTCATTCTGTTTCATTGCTTGTACGCTGGATCGGCTATTATCATTCTTTGTCCATCTAAATATTACTTGAATGCCTTGGTTCGATTCACCGGTATACGTAGAGGATGACTGTAAAATATAGAGGGATTAGTCGAGCAGGTGATGTAAATATTATGCGAAAGAAATACTCGGATCTCGTCTTTTCAATAACGCATTGCGGACAATAAAGAGGAAATGCAACCACAAGATCAGCTGCATCTTTACTTCTCAACTCGGTACAGTCTTTTCCGTTTATCTTGCATCAGCATTTAGGGATCTGCTCTCATAGAATTCAAGGATACATAGATGTCAAACGAAATGGGCTGGATCCGCAAAGTTTTGCCAAACATACAACGTTAAGATTTGCCTTCCTCAAAATAGATCGAAAATAGTGCCCATTGCAACGGAAGAATCCAAGCACTACGCTAATTTGGGGGTAAGCATGAAGCGTCGACTCGGCCAAAACAAACGAATGGACGGTGGATAATTTTTGGGTATATCAATGGGAATTGATACAGAGTTGAAACAGGAAATGCTGTCCCTCATAGACATTTTGACTAATGAAACGTCATAGATTTCAGCAAATTCATGACCATGCGAACAAATATGCTGTTTTTCTTACACCGTTAAATCTGCTTGATACTAAGTATGGTTGTCCGCTTAGTAAATTCAACGAAGATGTATAAAAAGCGGAATCCTAACCGAAAAATGAAGCTTCGTTGACATAGTAACTTAATGGAACTTCTGAGCCTTCAAGCCTCATACCGAAATATCACCTGGGGGCGTCTGCTGCGCACATGCTTTACCCGAACTATCAGCATAGCCAGCTTTGAGATCGCATTCTCAATACGTAACCTCATAACGAACTGCCTTCAATCGTCATTAAGGTAGACAAGGCTCACGGACTCGCAGTTCTCAACATAGCGAACGAAATTGTCGATGGGGAATGTTATCAATGCTACTGCCTCACGTGATGCGCGAAAAGTGTATCTGGAAATCTTGTTCACGAGTACTGTAACAATAACAATTCATGCATTTACGGCAGCACTGTATCATTGGACCTTTACTTGCTGATAAATGAAACAACGTACTTAAGAGCTGTCCGAAAATATGAGGGTTTACGAATTTCAAACCGCCAGAGGTGACAGCAATTTTATCTCCGCACCGGGCGGCAAGAATAGTTGCTACGCCACTGCAAGCGCCTGGAAAATTTAGGTGCAACGACACTGGCTACCGGCTGTGATGGAATGCGAAACAAATATCAGCACTTTTCGCCAACAGGATTTGTTAACTGGATAACGTGAAGCATGCTCCGACCCCTTGTCCTACAGTGTCTCATCTTCATCCTACTGCGCATCTGCTGACCCAACACTACACTATTCTCACCTGCGTCCTGCCATCGGTCATCTCCCTGTAGATGAATTACTCTCGATCAATTGCGTTCGGCAGCTCTTCGCCCCCTCCGGCACATGATTTCCCCCAATATTTAAATCCGACAAATTATTGGCTGACTGTGCATAACCAATGCGAGTGCTACGCGAAAGCAAGCGCAATAGCAACCACCGAAACATGGACGAGAGGACTTGCGGAGTTATCAGAAAAGGTCAAAAATTTTACGGCTGGGGTTGATTGCGATATTGAATAAAGCGTCTTGGAAATGGTATAGTTAGACTGAGTAATTGTGTGAAGCAACCTACTAAACACTGGATCTATTACATTATTCTTCAGAAGCGTCAGGTTTGCAGCTGCGGTCCTGTCACACACGCTCTTCATAATGACAGTGATTAACTTGACACTATTCGTGCGAACAATCTAAGGTTATGTTCGTGATTTATAGGTGAAGTTCGGATGCTCGAATGAATATTGAATATGTGCATAAAAGTATGTACTGAATAAACGACGGTGAAAGTTTGCATATTTGTAACATTTGAAGCACTGAGTACCCTTCAGCCACTTCATTAACGCAGCAAGAAGACAGAGGTTGCAATATGTCAAGATTTCGATTGCTGTTGTCAGTCGCTACGCAATGCAGGCAGAAAAAACACCCAATATATAGGGTCCACACTTAGTAACATAGATAAGCAGATAAAAATGATGGGAATGACGTAATCAGGACCAAGGCATTCTAATTGATTGTCTCAGTTGTTTCTGAGCACAGAGCACGAGACACTTCAACCTTATCAGTGGCGCATCGCCAATTGCCAGTAACGTCGGGTTCCTGTTGCGCAATAGCACCTTGAATGAATCGATTGGGTTCACCTGGTGACGAGTCAGCATGAGGTGTTTGAAGATAGACGAGGCAGGGTTCCAATTCATTCTTTGTTTCGCTCCGCCTTGGTTAGACAGCAACTGCCTTAGCCACAATGGGAAGTGTTCCGCCACCCTTTGAGCCAACCGACAACCAGTCTTGCCTATGTAAGTGTCACCGCAACTGCAAGTGAACTGGTAGATGATGTTAGAGGTCGAACTGATTGGCGCGCTGCTCGAACGAATGTGGAGAGGAATCCTTCGTGTGGTGTGAAGAAGTTGTAGTTGGGCGGTAGAGTAGGTGCGCATTAGAGCAATTTCATTTGCTAAATGATCCCCTTTGAAGGGTAAGAACAGATAAACATTCTTCTTCTCCGCAGTTTGTACGGGCAGCTTCAACTTGGGGGTCTGCTACGAGTCTGAATGAATTTATCCGGATTCCCATTAGTTAACAAAGTCCAGTATAAAGATTCTTCTTCAGCCTTGTGTAATTCCGGACTGCATATCCGCCTAGACCTGTAGAAGAGAGATTTTACAAGGCCGCGCTTGTATGCGACTGGGGCGAAGCTGGAAAAATATAGGTATTGTCCCCCTAGTTCGCTTTTCTGTACACCGTGCGCTGCAATGTGCCACGTCAAGAAACGGCAGTATGTCTTCTTGTTCCTTCTCCTGTGATACAGAAAGGTTCGGGTGAATTGAGTTCAAGAGGACAGCAAGACGATCAAAATGTTCACCATTAGTGAAGACGAGAATGTCATCTTCATAACGCTTGTAAAGCTTGGCTTCACCTATGCAGGCGGCAACTTTCCTTTCAATCATACCTAGGAATATGTCTGCCAGAACTGGTCCCAAACGCCTACCCATAGCGACGCCGTCAATCTGTTTGTAAGCCGTCCCTTCAAACTCAAATCGCACATTCTCAGTACACACCAATATCAAGTCTCGCAGGAACTCTAGAGGAAGGCTCACAGAGAGGTTCCGACTCAAAAGAAATTGGCATACGTCATCAACCGTTTCAAGTAGGGGCACATTCGTGAACAGTGATTCCACGTCTATTGAATACATGAGCTCCGCGTCAAGTGTTGTTCGTTCCAGTATATTCACCCATTCAAAGGAGTCTTTCAAACAATGCGTGCTCAGGAGCTTACGCAGGGGTTCTAGGAGCTTTGCCAACCACCGGGCTACTTTGTGGTAAGGTGAGTTAATCCTACACATTATTGGGCGTAGTGGAATTCCCGCCTTGTGCAGCTTCGGCGCACCACTCATCCTTGGTGTTTCCGTCCCTGTCGGTTTTAGCTGCCGATATTGTGACTCGGAGATATAACCATGGAGCAAAAGAATTTGTAGATGTCTCGTAATTTGTTTCTCCACCAAGATATTGTTGTTCAGCGTCTTGTCAATACGAAACTTGCGTCGGACGGATGTAATCGAAAATCATAAATTGTACCATGGTATTCTTAAAAATGGATCTGCAGGAGAATTTCTGTAAGAACTGGATATTATAGGTAGAAGTTCGTCACATCTAGACTCACTCAGACAGCCGTCACACGCCCGGAAAAACACTGTACGTGTGTTGCATCTTTTCGGGAATCGTCAGCAGTGCGTATTCCATCGGACCCTTGTAGGGCTCGAACCCGCAACTCGACTGTTGCCAGTCGATTGTTCAGACCATTGAGCTACGGGGGACGTCGACGACCATCGTAAATAAGTTACTAAATGTGATATAGCGCCGCTCACTATCCAAAGACTTACACATTACTCCCGTGCAGAGGACCGAGTAGCCCCCTCACCAGGCGACGAGCTTACCAAACTTAAGCCGCCAATTAACTTATGCCATTATAGCGCGGAGCATCCGTTTTTAAGTGCAATTTACAGCTGTAAGATTAAGTAAACATCAACAAACTTGCGCGCGCGAATTTTCGTGTCTGACGAATCTGTTGGTAGCTCGAGAAAATTGGGCGGATGCAGTGGATAACGGCCACACACTGGACGTGCTTTTCGTCGACTTTTCGAAGGCATTTGACAAGGTACCCCATTTGAGGCTCGCGCAAAAATTGTCCTCCTACGGGGTATCTGGCCGCGCCCTTCATTGGGTGACTGCCTTCTTGGAGGGTAGAGAACAATGTGTACGGGTAGGCCGGGGTCTATCATTTAGGCAATCTGTCCTCAGCGGCGTGCCGCAGGGCTCGGTCCTTGGACCGCTGTTGTTCTCTATCTATGTGAATGACCTACCCACGGAGCTTGAGGTACCATCGCTGCTATTTGCTGATGACCTGAAGCTGTGGAACATTGTTGATGTTCCTGGGGGTTCCGAAGCTATTCAGCGAGCATTGGATAAGCTTTGGGACTGGTCTACTTTATGGTTACTGCCCATAAATCAGGCAAAATGCTCCGTTCTTCGAATTGGAGGAGGTTGTCCTCCTGCGAAGTACTTGGTCGGTGGGGTCGAACTCCCCCGTGTATCTAGCCAGCTTGACCTAGGCGTCGTACACTCTTCGGCTTTACACTCCGGCGACAACTGGAAGAAGGCCGCAAGCAGAGGTTTCCGCATGTTGTGGTTAATCCGACGTTCTTTCGGAGTCTTGACGGGCGGCATCTTTACGAGGCTGTTCTCGGCTTTCGTTCGCCCTCATCTGGAATACTGCGTCCAGGCTTGTCCGCCCTGCTTCGTCCGGGACAAAATGGAGCTGGAGAGGGTTTTACGAGTGGGTACTAGGTTAGTCGAGGGATTACGGGGACGGACGTACCCCGAGCGTCTACTTAGTTTGGGAATGCATTCTATGCACTACCGAAGGCTTAGAGGAAACCTAATCTTAACCTACCGGATCTTGACTGGGAAGGTTGGTCCAGATTTATCTTGGCTATTCAGTCCCGCTAGATTGTCTGTTCTACTCGGTCATTCGTTGAAGCTGGACAAACCGCGGTCCGATCGGATTAGGGCGGAAATCCGGCTGTCACGCCGAGTTATCGACCGCTGGAACATGCTTCCGGAAAGTGTTATCAGGGAATCTACGGTTAAGGGGTTTGAGCGGCAACTTGACGCTCTTGGGTGGCAACACGAAACCTTTCCATTTTCCTGAGTAACTCGCATCTTCGTACTTCGATTTTCTTTTCTCTACTTTTCTTCACGTATTGGTATTGTTTTCTTATTTAAGTGCACTTCCCTATTCTGTACCTTCGATTTCTCTTCCTATCCTTTGCTTATTTCACGTGACTGCCAAAGCAGGGACTGCTAGGGCAGGAAACGTGGGCATTAACTGGTTGGCCAGGGTGCGATACGGGTGTTTCGGTTTAAGATCCATCAATAACTGAGCACTTCATCAATTCCTGGCTCAACGATCCACTCAAGATGGAACACTCACGGGATTCTCCTATCGTTCCAGTCCCCATCTGAACTGAACTGAACTGAGCATGTGAAGTGCTAACACAACTAGTTTTACATAACTCACGAACCATAGGAGACATTTCCGTAAAATGATGACCACTACATACGAGAAATTAATCTGATTCAAATGAAGGCATGACGACTACGCTGGGCGAAGATGGAGCAGGGAAAACCCTTGACAGAAATGATCCCACAAGACATGCGACCGTTTCTATTGATGGAGGTATGTATGCGAACTAACGCAAGACTGTGTCAACTTGTTTTATGCGTGCCTTTCCGGTGGACAGAGCAACAGCAAGTCTCGCTACGATTGTAATACATTTTTGGTCTTGCCTATACCTGTTACATGCCTTTCGATGGTAGCTTTGTCAACAACTTTTGGTATGAACACAGTTCTCTGAAACCCTATGGTGGTTAGATTGAATCAGAGCGGTGTCGATCCCTCGATGAACTCGGGTCGTTTTGGTGCTCTAATTGTTGTTTTTTATACAGGTTTCGAAGACATGGACTTGCGCAGTCTATGCAAGATGCGCTTCAAATTTATTGACATCTGCTGGGACTAAACAACTAGTTTTGGTATTCCCGAGTCATTCCGTTTTAGTGATGCGACACGGGTAGCTGCCATGTGTTGCTTGATTGCAGAACGAAAATACCATCACATTATTGGTAATAGCAAGCACAAGGCCGCCTCTAACCGCATGGGACACTTTGCGCTGTACTAAAGCTCGAGAATAGTAAGGAATGTGCTGTCGAACCTAACAAAAACGCCAGAAAATATGAGCAGGAATCTAAGTTGATAAGCGTCCAAGTAGTCAGTAGCCGTTCAAACTGAAGTTGATTTGTTTGTGTGGTAACTAAGGAATGCGATGGGTAGCATTTTTCAAGATTCTGGTGGCTTCCCAGAGTTCATCGGTACCGACAAAGCCATTCAAACGAGTTTTTTCATCAGGTGGGATGTATTAAATAAGACAGTTTTCTAACTTGGCGTGCTTCATAAAATTGATCGCATATGGCACGTTTCTATAAAAATGGAAAACGTACACAGAGAATCCATCAAGATATAATGGTTTACAGTGAGAATCCTGTTTCATGTTAACGAGCTTTACTTGATCCAGTCTCGACTAGACTTCCCTCCACAAACCGAAAGGGAATTGATGCTTACAATATTCATAAAATGTGCTGTTGTTAAGGGAAAATTGGTGTTTCAGGCGATTCGATGTATTGGTCCTTTATACACAATACAACATAATACACTGCATTCATTGGACTGAGGGGCATCCCGTAGTAGTGCATGAAGAACAAATGGCTTAGAGTGAATAAAATCCGTTTGCCCAAAACCCAGAGATATTGGTGAAGCCCACCTACAGTAGAACTCAAAAGTCGCGCCATTATTCAATCAGAAATACCATCTTACCAAGAAGAATCTACAGTGGAAGCGGCTCGCAGGGGATGAACTTCATTCATTCTCAAGAAATTTCCATCACATTTTGTACTAGACCATGTGGATATTAGACACAACTAGCAGGAGTCGAATGTTTAGTTGGTCACTGCATACCTCGGACTGGTGTATCTAATAGCGCATAAGATATCTGAAGGTCATGACACGGTGTCCAACTATAGAGCTGGTAAAGCTGAGCACAAGTGGGGACCAGAAGACCCATGAATCCACTAAAGGGTTGTTTATCATGGCCTTAATTACGTCTCTTGCTTTTGCCGTAGTAACTCGGGAAGCCACGGCTAGTGAATATATTGGCAAAATTAATTTCCACCTGTTACACAATGACCGCGACTACTCTCATACATAGCTGCAACGAGTGGTGTGTAACATGGCACCCACAACATGCAGTTGCAACGTGATTAGCCTAATGGAATTCACAGAAGCAATTTGGGTTAGGTTCATACAACAATACTTTGGATAGTGACCCAGCTAATGGTTCACCAACATATTCTTAGTTTGTTTGATTCCGAATTGACCCATCCACTTGTTGGATCGCAAACCTAACTGTTAGCCTCCGCTCGTTTCCAATCGTTCAAATTAGTGAGACCGTCTCGTCTCAGGGATAATTTACCTGGATAGAGTGACTGCGGTTGGCATCGTTTCTGAAGAGTGGCTTGTTCTTACGTATAGATCCTTTTAGGAGTGGTGCTCTGGATACGCTTAGCCCCATCAGTAGGCTTTTGGAATATTGAATACGGTAACCTACTCAGCACCGCAAGAATTAGCCCTGTGGCGTTCTGATTCACCTCACTATGGCGCTGCTTCATAGTACTGACTCACGCCATTATCTGGCAATCAAATTGATGAGGTCGTCTAAATCATTATCGTTCACAGAATTCCCGTCCAACAGTTGGCTAATAAGTTCACGGGTTGTAAGGTGGTGGTGACCAAACTGAACGTTAAACGTAACCAAAGGACTTCTGAAGCTTCCTCCCGGTTTCAGTATTACTGTCCGTCAATCGCTTCTCCGGCACCCCATGTCAGTATCATATCAAGTGCGACAGCAGCAACACATGTTCGTTAGTTAGATTCACTGCACTGAAGCCAGTACTTCATAGGGGCCACGTAAATCCGGAAATCTCATTCTGTCACCTTAGTAATTCAGTCAGTCGAGTGACGGTCATAGATTATTCTGACTGAGACGGACCGATTGACTGCGGGAACGCAGTGCCGGAGAATAGAACAATTAACACAGCGGACGATGCGTGGACACCACACAGGCAAACCAACTCATCATGTGGGCGGAATGTTAAGTTAAACCACGGTTATTGCCAACATTTTCTTGCACTTCGGCGAAATGGAACTGATGTCGTACATCAAGAATATACGATA